TGTATCATTCTCCACTTCATTTGCTATGTACTCAGTGAGTTCAACAAATGCTCTTGATTTATTTAATTTCTCGTCTTCCTTGGCCTTCCAAGCTGCTCCACTTTTCTTCTTGCGTTCCTCTGACATGTATGCCTATTTCGCACGTCAGCCTTTTTGGTACATTTTCAAGGAGCGTTCTATAAATTAATGCTTGTACCGTTAAACCAGTGGGCTTCTCAAATCTTCTTTTGTTGATTCTTGGCAAATATAACAACGATCCCAGTTAATATCCATCCTGGTGTGTAGAAAACATCTCAGCTTCAGACACCTTTAACTAACCAGTAAGTTAATAAACTCAGTATAGTCATTCACAATCGGCATAAAATATGAAGCGAAAATGTGGCTTTCGATAACAAATTTATCACCAAGAAGAGCTTAAAACTTCACTTAAACCTGTCGTGATTCAAATTGTGCACAATTTCCCCTAAAAAACGGCAATTTATTCTAGCAGATACTTACAGTCCGTGAAAAGACGCCTTCAAGCCGCCATCTTGAAAGGCTGTTTGAGACTGGGTACGCGTCTGAAAACATTTTCCTTGGATTTTCCATTTAGTTGACTTGTTTTTGTCATTGGTTTCAATTATAATACAATTTATTTTTTTATTTTCTTGTCTTTCATGTGATTTTCATCAAAATGATGGCAAAAAAAATTTAGCACAGGATACCCACCATGGTATATTATAATTGCTATATCATTAAGTTGACTTGTTTTAGTCATTGGTTTCAATAATAATAGTATTAATACAGTTTCTTTTTCCATCTACTTCCCTTTTTACGTGATTTTCATCAAGAAATGGCAAAAAACAAGTGATTGCAATTTTCAGCACAGGGCACCCATCATGGAAGGTTGTTGAAGAACTTTAGCGAGCAGTTGCTGCAAATCCTGAAGAGGTAGTTGTGGGCACCGATCCTAATATTGACTAACATGCCCTAAGCTACAACCATGCAAAGTTTGGTGCTTTTGTCCGCTCTGTATAGATCTGAGCCTTTAGCCACCTGACTAAACGTGAATGTGTGTCACAGACCTCGGACAGAATACGGTATCTCAATTTTTCAAGACAAATTGCACTCAGTCAATGTTTAGGACGATCAATCGTGGCCTTTTAGCGAAACCGTTCAAAAACTTTTCAAAATCACCCATACGGCCAGCCGATTCTCATTTCTAGTGCGAGCTGTCAGTGTGTGGTCGAGTGTTTGAATGAACTTTAACAGAGATACGCTTCAACATAATCACGAATTTATTATCATTATTTTTTGTTATTTAATGGTTTCAGTTATAACGATGTGTAATCTTATAAAGCGTTTGATACGCGCGACATTTTTAAGTACTCCTTCAAGCGATGTTCATGAACGATGAAAACAAACGCCACGGACAAGAATTGCAAGAGAGACTACTAACAATCAATAAAAGAATTGTAATTCGGTGAAACATTCACAGAGACAACAATTTTCATTTACGAAGACAAGTATTAAAGTGTCTCTAAAAATCCTGAGTCTTTTAGCTTAAAGCTTAAGCCTAAGTTTATTTTGTTTCACTTGCAGCCGGCCTTCCCGTGTTTGCCTTTTTCAAAGATGAACTCCTCGAAGCAAGAAAATCGCTCACAGTTTTTTATAACTAAATATTCTTCGGAACGTTTTCTTCTATTTGCCGTGAGAAAATATAGCTGAAGGCCTTTTAAAGTTCTGTAAGCTTATATCAAACCTGATACTAGGTCAGATCATTGACTCAAATCTTACAAACGTGCAAATACTTGCCGCATAAACTGTGCTCGACTTCATGAAATACAATAATTACTCAGGCTTACCATTCGAGATTCAGTTCCTGAAAGATATCAAGGAAGGCCACAGTTGCTTGAGAATTTTAAACCCTCTTACGCATTAAGCAAGGTGAAAAACGAAAACGATGCCATCTGAAATCGGAATACCCAATTTTGACAAGCAACGCATTTCTCAACCAAAAACCCAATAAACAAACCAGCCATGAATAACAGAAGATTCTTGAAAGTAGCTGTATTTCATTTTGTACATCCAGTGGAAAAAGACAGTTAAAAACATCACAAGTTGACACAAAACTCTGTCGGCTTCAGCTGTCAAAGTAAACAACTTTCAAGACGCTGCATAAATTTTCCGCATGAACTCACCTGTCAAATTTTGACCAATCAGAGTACAAAAATTGGACGTAGAGCGTGACCAACGCATGACCATGGTAAGAAAAGGTCTTCTCCGCCTGTATTTTTAAAAAGCTGGCTGAGTTTTCGCGTCCGAGGTCAGTTTGAAATCAAAATCTTGACAGTGAGGGGCCATAGTGACATAAACACAACATGTTTCATATGAATCATTGGAAAAAATGGACTTGAGCCCGCGCTCATTTGAAACTGGTAATTTGTCAGCGGATAACTTCAAAAAGGTGCTCGACCTCGATGGGTCGACATTTGAGCCCTCGGTACGGTCAGGTGATACTGGTCAGCGGATATACCTTTTTGACAGCTGTCAATTGATCACAACATTGATGTGCAATTAGTTTTCTCTTGGGCTTCCAAACTAGCTAGAAAGTGTGGGAGTAAACATTGGTTACCTTGTGGTGCGGACGGACGGTCGGGCGTACGGTCAGGTGATTACCAAATTTTCTCGGATGGGTAGATTACCACATTTCCTTAGCTATGGGGCTCCGTCCAGGTGCGCGCTTCGCGCGCGGTTGGAGCTCCGCTATAACACTTAACATCTCCTGGAGACAACATCCAACCAAACTACAGTTTTATGGACCCATCCCTGACATTTCTACAATCTTACGTGAACGAAGAATGCGTTTTGCAGGTCACTGCTGGCGAGCTCGCGAGCCATCTACTGCTCTGGTCACCTATTAAACCATGGTAAAGGGCCGGTTGGTCGCCCTGCAATCACCTACATCGATCAACTCTGTGGAGACACGGAATGCCTTCCGAAGGACCTCCCTGCTTTGTTGCAGGACCTTGATGGATGGAGTGATGGACCCACGAATGACCGAGCTAGCTCGACCTGATGATGATGATGAAATTTTAAATCAGAAATGACCCAGTGAAAAGCTGGCAGGAGTTATTCAATTTCCTTCAACTGTAAGAATATCTATAAGTTCGTTGTCCAACGCGACTGGACAATTTGTTTTATTCGGCTGTACCAAAAATGCAATGAGATGCTGTCTGATTGGCTAACAGTTAACAAACGTTTGATGGAGACCGCTAAATGTAATTAAAATGGTGGAACAAAAACTCTAGCTGTAATTTCAGGTGTTGATTAAAATCATGTTTGAGAACTTTAAGAAAAATACGTGAATACCAAAAAGCAAATTATTTATGACTTGTGATTTGTTCCTTGAGTGCTAATAAATTCAGCTATTAATTACGATAAACGTACCGAAAAAACGCAAAACAAAACAAAACAAATGCTGCGTTGCAAATATTTCTGAGTGGAAATATTGTTTGAGGGAGATGCCTTAAATTATGACTCCCTGAGTATGCTGATTATCCAAAATAATTGAACAGTATTTCACTCGATTATTTTAGATTATATTAGATATTCGTCTTCTTGCTTTCACCTGTCCCCTATTCAAAGAAAAGAAAAAAAAATGAAAAGGAGAACCTTCTTTGGCCATGATTGCCGACATTTACAAACAAAAGACGCATTAGGCGCTGTGCGTAAATCTTTTCTTATAATGAAGTTTTTAGACTAATTGTTTCGTAACTTTTAAATTTAAGAGAACATTACTCACATAAAAATCCCCAATGGACAAGTTGTCCGAAAAAGCTTATTTCACTGATGAAATTTATAGGTTAACATTGAGTGTATTTTAACCGACGAACTGACGTTTTCGAGAATTAATGGCAGTATATATTTTTTGCTGTAAACTTCATAAATTTAAATATAGATTCATGTTGTTTAACAAGCGGGTTATTATTGCTTTCTGGCACATTTGAGATTGGAAACTGCCAATAGAAATAGAATTTCACTTTGACATTTGCAGTCCAAGCCTTTTTTTTGTCTTACTTAATACACCTAAAGTTCATATCAATACCACAGCCAGGTTGAGCACTAACGACCGTGCAGCATGGTTTCTGAGACAGCACAAGTCGTGATAACTTCAGTTTTTTCCTTGCTGGTCATGACAGATATCGTGGGAAACAGTCTTGTTTGTGTGGTGTTAATTAAAAATCAAGATATGAGGTAAGTTTGAAATTAATTGACATTGTGCCAACGTCGTTTAAAACTTGGAAATTTTCATTGCATAAAAACTTGAAAATTTATAACTGGTGGGAAGAAAATTCCTTTAGTTGAAAGGAACAGGAAACACTCGGGGGAATTAAACCTAAACGGAAAATGGAACCTTTATAAATTTTGCCTTTTCTTTACCCGCAAACCAGTATCGTACGAAAATATCCTAAGACCCAAAAATTTATTTTTTATTTATAAAGATAGTCTTTTTCCTGACCATCAAACCGATCAATGCAAAGTGTAACGCGTGTTTACACTATAACTGTGTCCAATATGACTTTTATTCATCACAAGAAGCTACGTAATGTATTTTGTTCACAATCCAATTTCAACATCCTTCCTTCATTTTTCAACGATAGGCTCTTGTAGGTATTTGCTTTCCTAGTACCACTTGAATATAAATATACCTAGACTTGATTCATGAACAATATATTTGGCGTTGTATCTTGTAATATGAAAACATTTTCTAGTAAGATACAGTTTTTTCTCGCTTTATCTAAAGAAAAAAATAGGCAGAGGTATTTTTTGCTTGATTTGTCACGTCCTTATGAAAATCAAAATTATCAGACAAAGTTCGTTCTAAGTTCCAGGTGATATCTTGGGTCAGAAAAAATGATTTCATTGAAACTTTTTGACGCGGAGACATGAGACATTTTGAACAGATGACACATTCTTCTAAACACTAACACTTTTCAATTTTGGCCGGCAGGACGCCGATGAACTTTTTACTTGTCAACCTGGCGGTAGCGGACATTATGGTGGCGCTATTTATTGCGCCACAGTTTATCCTTATTCACACATTCAAACACCCAGACGGCTTGGCCGGGACACTGCTTTGTAAATTTTTGACCGGCGGGAATCTTATGTGGACAGGAGCAACTGCTTCTTCTTTCTCTCTGGTCGTCATTGCGTTCGAGCGATACTTCGCCGTTATGTATCCTTACGGCAATAGAAGAAAGCTAACAACCGGCAAACTAAAGGTAATTTTAGTAACACTGAAATCTAATGGGAACAGGACGTAAGAATTACAGACTGAGATGATAGTATCATTTGAAAACTGTGAGGGAAAAAAATTAAATAGACGATAGCTTACTTTGCCGCCGCTGTTAAAAGTGGAGAGCACTGTTTGCAACCTCCTTCGATTAAAGAAATAACGAACAATAAAGTAACTCATTGTTACTCTAGTAATGGAAATGTTTATTCATATCATTAGTATTATCCTTTTCTTCTTCTTCTTCTTATTCTCTTTCACGACAGATTTTCAAAATCAATACTTCTTGTCTTGAATTGTTGGTACCTCGGTGCTGTTTGTGTCCGTGTAATAGTTTACATTATCATTATTTTACCTGATGTAACTAGTCCCGTTTAGAAAATTCAAGAGAATATGATTATTTTAAAAGAATCAAAAGGTTTATTGACTGACCCAGGGTTGGCGATTTTTTGTCCTGTAGATACTAGCAAATGTTTGTAAAATATAAACTTAAATGGCACTATGCTTTGTTCTAAGTTAGAGCAGCCATTTATAGTGAGTCGATATGGTGGTACTGAGTTTAAAAAATGCAAAAGGTATTGTAGCCTGCGCGCAGACGAAATTAAACTCTGGTTAACTCCGTCTGCGAAACAGCGCCGAAATCCTTGTTCTGGACTTCCAGCTGTGTACCCAGATTTGAGTACGCGCCACGATTGGCCAGTTAAAAAAGGCCTTTGTTTTGTTTGTCATGATCGCCAATCAGGTTGAAGGGGAATTCGAAACGCACTTCCGGTAATTCGTTGAGTCCGTTGGGGGTCCAGAACAAGGATCTCTGCGCAGCTTCGCAGACGGTACTAATCAGAGTTTAGTTATCGTCTGCACGCAGGCTAAAGGTATTGTGGTGATGCTAGAAATACACTACTTATTCCCCTGGGAACATTAAAAGATACCGTATTTATTCGATTAACCGCCCTGGGCGCTTGTTAAATTTTTGGTCCTTGAGAGTGGGCGCTTATTCGAGGTGGGCGCTTATTCGAGGCTGGGCGCTTATTAAATTTTCACCATTTTCAGCAAGTGAAGTATGTTTATTTTGCAACAAAACAATGAATGCTAATAACAAAACGCGAATTCGAGGTAACAAAGCAAGGTTGCTGTAAAATACTCTGAAGAAAACTCCGTCCTCGGGTAAGTCTCTTATAAGAATTTAATCACTCAAGTGGGTGGGATGGGGGTGAGCGCTTATTTGAGTTTGATTGGGAGGAGGAGGGGGTGGGCGCTTATTCGAGGCTGCGCTCTTATTAGCTTTTTCTGCCTTTAGAATGGGCGCTTATTCGAGGTTGGGCACTTATTCGAATAAATACAGTATTCTAATAACAACGTTCAGGACGATGATAACGATGCCAACGGAATATTAAAGAAGTAAACAAACTCTTTCAGGGATTCTAGGAAATTTCGAATTTTATAGCTCCCGGGCTGCCCAGACGTGTAACGAATTCACCAAGCAAATTCTTTGTTTTCGCCATTTGCACATCCCCCATAATACACCTTGTTTGTCCTGCAAAATTTTGCATAACCTTTGTTTTCAATTTTTCCTCTTACAGTCAATTCGAAGAGAAATTGAGGACAATACAAATGCACAAGGGGGAGGGGGGAGGTGTATTATGGGAGATTTGCAAATGAAGAATCCTCGTACATATTTCAGAGCTTTTGCTTAAAACAGTTTCTTGTATAAAACATGTAATTAGATTTTCAGCGCTTTTCCCTTAATACAATTTCTAACATGACAAATAGGCAAGTTTCGTATTCCCCGAAGGACCTGGGAAGAGCATGATTGCGAGGCTAATGCGGGTCAACTTCTTGGCAAAAACGAAAACAAAGTAACATAGGCAAATTGCGGCTGAGTCGTTGGAAAACGATACAAAACATGAAAATAATGAGATTTCAAAGCTTAAACTTTACCAGTACGCTGAAGGGATATCTGTTTCAAACAGTAAAACTGTGGAAAGAGCTGGTCGAACTAAAACAGACCTGAAAAAAAGCCACGACTGAAGCTTGAAAATGGTAAAATGGTAAATTAAGCTTAAGTCTCTTTTGTTTTCAAACTTCTTATTATCCTATTTTCCTCGTGTGATATCTGTGAAATGGATTAGTATTATCATCTGTGTAATAAGTCTGTATTCAACTTCTAATCGAGTGAAATGTGCATACGTCGATCGTTTTTCTACATGTGGCTGAAATTGTTTTTACAAACGATGTAAGCTAAATGTATAAATAAACTTATACCTTTCAAATCGCCTTTGTCCATTCCGATTTAACTTCCTTACAGTGCAAGAAATGTACGCAGAACTTCAGCCCCATCGTGATAGATATTTTTCCACCGAACGTACTTGTTCGGTTTATTTCAAATACACAAAATTTTTCATCCGCTCCGTTAGAAAATGTCAACTGAAAAGTAGTTGAATTACTTAATTGAATTTTGTCGATAACTACCACATTTCAATGAAAGGCTTACTTAAAGAATTTATAACGATCACTGAAAATGGCTTCAGAGTTTTACCATGTTTTGAGGATTTTGAGACCATCTTGGCATTTTTATTGAACTCGCTCACCAACCCACTCTTCCGGGCAATTTCTAGTTTCGCTCGTTGTTTTTCTCGGTGACGAAGAGCTGATCTTCCTTTTGCTGTTCGTAACAATGATTTCTAAAGCCTGTAAGTAAGTTTGGAGCCCATCGAAACATTAAACCTTTAAGTTTTTCCTCAGCTGCAGTTTTTTCATGTTTGTTCATCTTCTTGCCAAGAAGTTGCAAGCTTTAGCCTCGCTTTCGCGCGAAAACAAGCACTCGCCCTAGGCCGCCCGGGGAATACGAAACTTGCCTATTATGTAATTAGATCAGTTTTATACCAGCCAAGTCTTAATAGGCTGTTGTAAACAACAACAACAACAACAAAAACTAAAGAAAACATTACATACATATACGCAGAATATACATGACGCCAGCATAAAAAACTTTGAATTCTGTCTTTGGCTTTTCACAGCTCATCATTCCTGTTATATGGATAAGTTCAGTCATCATAAACATGCCATTCTTCTTAACAACCTTCTTCAGCAAAGGGGATAACTTTTGCATGGAGCACTGGCCGGGAGAATGGACAGCTAAAGCTTACAGTTTAGCTTGGTTTGTACTTCTTGGTGCTATGCCAATGATTATGATGTTCGTGTTATATTCAAGAGTAATTTATTCGCTTTGGATCAAGCAAGAAGTACACCACCAGGGTGCCCAACAGGTAAGCGTAAAACACTCCTATTAATCTAAGCGGATTGCTAAAGGTTTCTGGGTTAGGGTTAGTAATATAAGCTAGTAAGTTCTAATGTTGCTCATCCAAATTTGTGCCTTGAAAAGTGCAACCCTTGCTGTTATCTGCGACTACTTTATCTACGATAGGCTGCCGGTATCAGTAATGTCATTTTGTATTGGCCATTTCTTGATTGAGTGATTTTTATACTTTTAACTAACGTCCCCTTTTTTGTCTGTTTCTCCCTTTTTGCTTTTAACTTGGCTCGACGGCAAAGTTATGCTTACGCAATTGGTTTATATACTAGACCGGAAATAAAAAGCTGACCGGATGATTAATGATCATAATGATTATAATGATTATAAATGATTTATAAGTAATGAACTGTTAATAAGTTTCCTTATTTTCAGGGTGTTTTGAGGGTACGTAAACGTGTCACCAAGATGGTCTTAGCAGTCAGTATTATCTACGTCATGTGTTGGACCCCGGATCTCGTCATTTACGCACTGATCCACTTTAGCTCAAAGCACAACCTCGGAGACGCTGCAGATATCATTTCCATCATGTTGGTCACGTGCAATTCCACCGTCAATCCATTCATTTATGCCCATGTCAATCCTCGCTTCAGAAATCAAATCAAGGCTCTGTTGTATTGTAGAAGCGTGGATAGAAATAGAATTCACGATGACAGAAGAAGGAGCCTGGGTTCTACGACAATAAACAATATAGCAGCTGCATCAATAATCCAGCGCGAAGTCCGCGGTATCGCCTTACGTTCTCAAGAGATTTCAACTTCACTGTGACTTTAAACCGTTAATTACCGGTTTGTTATATACTAACGTTACCTATGATTTAAATATGTTCATGAATGGAAGCAATGAGCCGTGAAAGTCAACGGATATGATAAAAAAATTCTTAAACTGATTTTGGTCTTAGAGTGAGTTTAATTAACATTTCGGATTCTTAAATTCTTCGGTCGTCCAAAAACTGCTTTTTTATCCAACTCTGGCCATTGCCTTGTGTTTTGAGGAATTAGGCGATGTATCCAACCGTAACAAATGTATAGCGAAGTAAATGGAGATTTTGAAGATGATTGGGTGTTGTCGGCAACGACAAGCCTTAATTCTTATTTGCTGCCACCTTGTAAATCATTGTTGAAATTCTTGCGAATCCGAACAGCTCCGAACTGTAAGACAAAAAAAGATTTTGCAAGACTTATGACGAAAATAAATGTCGGATACATATATTTTACACATAATTGAGAATTAAAGGCGACAAAAGAAATCTTGTCAGATACGCTTACCGATCTAGGAGAAAGTGCATTGCATTGAAATAGCTCTTTAATGACAAAGGGGGTGAGGAGGGGCCTGTTTTCTATCTAAATCTTATCCAAACAAGAAAAGCGATAGTTTTTTTTCTTAGCAATAACGCTGCCATTTAATTATCAGTAAACGCTGATTGTCGATAGAGTCTCGATAGCCTGGCCATAGAAATAATAAAAAGTACATGTTCAACGTTTTAAATTGAAACCCCTGACTTAAAAAAATGTTAATGAGACAATGAATTTTTATAGGAGAGATAATTCCTCAGTGACATAAATGTG